ATATATATGTACTTAAGTAGGTAATGTATCTTGGACGTCGGGCTCGTCTCTTATCTGTACATCTAGACGCAACCCGGGCCCGTGAACTCAGACATCATATAAAAAGTCTTAATTTGGAGATAAATGAATTTAAGATCCATCAGAAGGAAACTTCAATAGGCCAATATGTTACTTCACAGTGATCTGGGCTACTATTCTAGTGGAACGAATAGTACGATCGATGATATCGAGGGTGAATAGATAATCTCACACACAAGTCGCTTCATGAATAGATCTATAGATAAACCCACGCACGAAGGCACCGCAAAGCGAGCAGGACTCTAGTAATCTCGTCAGCCCCCACCTACGCCTAGATCGCTTGGGTTTGAGGACTAACCCGCTAACACGTCCTAACTAGCTGCATATGCAACCTACTCAATCAACCCTCCTCAGGTCCCTCCGTCTCTGGAACGCCGCTCACTCGGTTAACGTTATAACGCTCTAACCGATCGAAGTGTCAGTATTTGTCATTGCATTCACATTTTAATTTTAAATGCTGGGGCTGCCATGACTAGATACAGGCATCTCGCTTAGGTGAAATATTAGGTATTCTCGGATATATATGATAGAATGTCGGTGTGGGAGCCCGAAGGAGACGGGTGCATATATGCGTGCGTGCGTGTGTGTGTATGTGTGGCGGAGAGTTATGCAGAACTTCGGCGAACCTATCGCTCCCTTGATAGCCCGAAGCTCCACTCTAGCCACATGTACTATCAATTGGGTGCATGCATGGCGGCCGGATTAGATGACATGAGGTAGGTTTATGTTAGGGCCAACCGTCGCTACACGTTGGCTTCCCTCGGATGGACAGCTAGCTTTGCATGCTATTGTTGGTATAATTAGTGTAAAGTAGTATATTAATAAAGGACACTCAGCTGGTGCCAGCTGGCCCACTTATTTCTATAGGGCTAGCAGCAGCATGCGTATGCAGGCAGTAGCAAGAAGGCGGTGATAGGTGTGGCTATATCGGATGTGCTCATAAATTAGACTTTATCATGTCTAGCAAATATATCTAGATAACTATTTCGAAAGCTAAGTAACTAGTGGATACTGTGGGGACAGTGATGTTTCTTTTCTTTAAATTTAACTCATAGGGCTGAGACACCAAGGCATATGCAGAGGTGAGCGACCCCTAGATTAATACCAACAAACAGAATTGTTAACATGCTAGCAAATCGGCAGCTTAGCCAATCTTCTTGACTGATAAACCGATCCAATTCTAGAATTCCACAATAATCATTTGTCTGATTCCGACATGCTGTTCTACACTTATGCAAGGCGGTATAACCTTTAACACTTGCCCCAGTAGGCCCCGCTTTTGCAGGCTAGTCTGCCTTGGGTCCAGGTTGATGGTTAGAGTTCTTAGTCTGCAGATCTGGGGGACGCGCACCCCCGCCTCGTAGAGCCCTGGTCTACTGTCAACTGGTCGAGCTGAGTCCATCGGCTAGGTCATGATCAATAGTATTGAGACCTAAAAAAGCGAAAAACAATCTAAATGTAGAAGAAATGTTATGAAGGAGGTATTATGATTTGCTGATGCTATTATTACACAAAACTTTTGAACACCTATACATGTATTCTGGGAACGAGACTATATTTTGATGTAATATTTAGCTTCGGTTAATTATTTAGAGCTGATATGTTCACCATCTTTTATCATGTGTGCTGACTTAATAAAAGCTCTAGCCAAATAATATTAATAGTAAGGCTGACACTTGCCTCGTCGCCAGACTCCTCAACTGTGGGCTGACACTCTTATTCTTTAACAGATGCCATGGATCTAGGATCGAGACTTAGTCAGCTGAGCGTATGTATGTTCAAACTACCGAAGCTTTTGAGCCAGTCTATGCTACCCCGGTTTCCTCTATGTCTCAAGTCTTCGGTTGGCTCGCTATCTATGATTTTACCCGTTAGTAATGTCTTGTAGGGCTGAAATGCATGATAATTTGCGAAAGAGCCAAGAAAGAGAAGATACGCATATATGCGAATATATCTATTACGTGCAGCACATCCGAAGCGATTTCATAGATGGAAAACATAAGCAAAAGCTGCAAGTCTGAACTCTTGGAGTCCAACTACAGGGAACATGGGGCCACAATATTGCGAGAACTAGGTCTGAAACTTGGAAGTTTTCCAGAAAATGTCATGGTTGATAAACATGAAGATGCGAAGGGTGGAGCATTAGGGCTTCTTGGTCCATGTTTTATCGGAGATGCCGAATTGCCAACTTGCAAGCTACCTGGCTCCAGAACCTTATCTATTATCCTTTCCTTTCCTTGCAGGGAGAGCTCCAAGTGCACGAACGGGATCTTATTCCCAAGAACCGAATGGAACGAGGTATACTACAAGCGAATGATCTCCCAATAAAGACCAACTCACTAAAACCCTTGAAGAAAAGCTATCCCGTCCGTGCATGAAGCATGGAGCATGGAGCATGGAGCATGAGGAAAGGCAGACAATTCGACATTCTTCGACAAGAAATAAATGTCTCACCGGTTGTCCTCGTAGGGCTGGCAGGCATCAGGGATGTTAAAGCACAAGCCTTGTTGGAAAACTTACGTTTGAACTGTGTTGTTGCTAGTAAAACGGGGTTGGCTAACTGGATTCAAACGAGGACTCCGAAAGGTTATTATGCAGCGACCGGTCAAGAAGCTGCATGCACTCAGCCTCCACCAAAAGGAAAAAGCTTTGAAAGCGAGAACTCGCCGTCCAATAAGGCATTGACTCGGGAGTTGTTCGTCTGCGGACATCTTGATTCGGGTAGACTGGATTTTTGATATTCTTCTGCGGGTTTTTGTCCGCTTTGAGGGAATGGTCCAATGAATCAGTTGACCTCCGCCATTGCTGCAGGGCACAGACTGGGGATTTCCTGATTGTCGGTGTGATCCCATGCTTCTTGTTCTCAGAAGCCCACTTTAAGGATGTAATATCACTGTGCATTGCGGAAGCCAAGTTGCGATTGCGATTGCGATTTCTCTGCGGCATTGGGCTAGCTGGCTCCACTGGATGAAGGTTCTCTCAGGCATGAGGCAGACAGACAATCGGAATCTATTGCCATATTACCCGACCATGCAAATTTGGTTTTCTTTTCTAACTGGTACTTGTGGGAGAAGTACCTTTTCTTCCCGAAGGTACTTTTGAATAAAGTACCACATTCCCCGTGCCATGCTTCGGTCCTCGGTCCATGGGCCTCGTGGAGCGTTCTTCCCGTGGGGGCATTGGTCGTCCCGTATGTCTGTATCTCTCAGGGCTACAAGGCTCACAATGGCTAAATTTGAGTCGGAATATCATAAAACTTTTCTGACTAGCTTAGAAACACGTGTTCATCTGACTACGCGGTCCAAAAGTTTATTGTTCTTGAGGTCCATTAGCCGGATGCGTTTTTCCACTTAAATCAGGTTGTTCCGCAACTGTTGTTTACACGAGGGAAGGAGGGCTATAATGTGACGTCTATATTCGATTTGCTATTGATATATCTAGTTCATAGAGCTTAATTGAAAACCTCAATTGGGGGGTCTTTCTTACCGCAGCTCATGAGGAGTCGACCCAAGACTAGAAGATGCCAACGGGTTTGAACCGCCTTTATAATTATATATGTTCAAATCATTGCCAAGAACTGAGTGGAATGAAATAGTTTACAGGGCTCAATATCGGATATCACTGCTTAAATACTTATTGGTTGTGAGTTTTTGTAATTACACAAGCCTAAATGGCAAGACGTCGAGGAATGTTTGAAGATATCATACCATTTATCTTGCAAGTTTTCAATGAAAAGTTTAGACATCTTCTCATTCACATAATATGACCACCCTGGAATTTTTGTTTGTGTGGAGCTGGCACGAGACAACATAACCGTGTGCGTTCAAACTTGTTTCCTAATCGCTGGTGTATACATGTAGCTATCGATACCAGTCAAAGCCTACGTGTGTCTTCAAACTTAGTAGGTATTAGTATATATAGATGGAAGCCTATTCTGTACTTTCCGAGCCACTACATTGCGACTGGCTAGTCATATAAATAATTAGAGATCGATAGCAAGAGTGCAGTGTATAAAACTCATCTTCAACTAGCCTCATAATCCAAATGATTCGAGGTCGACTCCGTTCTGTATGACCATGGTCATTAACCTATATTAAAATTTGTAAAATGTCTAGAGTATTGCAATATAATAACTATATATATATATAAGCGTGGCTACTCTGGGTTCAAGGCGAGGCGATATCAACATGCATCGATCCCGTGGCCCATGTGGTCGAGTTGGCTTTCCCCATGCGTGTCTATGACGTTGATGTTGAAAGAGCCAGCCGAATATAAGGGTGTCCACTAGTATATGATATCTATACTATTGTCTCCGTCATATGAAGCCATTCACATCGAAATATTTAATTATCTCGGGCTTCATGGGGTACTACGGGGCTGCCTTTGTGCACTGCTTCCGCTTTTTTTTGGAGCCAGTTATCTAACCGCTTGACCCCATTTGTATAGAATATTCTTTTTAGTAGTAATTTTGAAGTAAAGAAAGAATCCTTGCTTATACTCGGGTTACTTGATTACACTTATACATAGCGCCTGAAATCCGAACCTACCCGACAATTAGTATTTCAAGACCCCCACCGACACCTTCCGGCCCGAGCTGCGCGTTGTCCTTACAAAAATCCAACATTCCTTTCAAGCGAGGCTCAATCAATATAAAACTTCAAAGCTTCGAAGTAACCTCGGCTTAAATCAGAGTCTGCAATGCAATGCAATACAATGCGATAGAATTCATTCATTCATTCATCCATCCGTCAGAAATATCTTGAATCCCCCAGTCACATTTAATTTAATTCCGGTTGTTCGCTGATATTTCTCAGAAACAGTAACTCATCTCCGGCTTTTTCGTCGTGATTGCAGTCGCCGTCTAGTCTTCTGCTATAATATACTAGCCAAGTCGTACCATATATCAGTGCTTATAGACCAATATGACAGGACTCTCCACCACCTTCCTCACAAAACTCCGAACCTACCCATCCCTCCCCTCGCAAACATGGTACTACATAACCCTCGTCACCATCAGCATCTGTAACAAACCCGAACTCATAGCCCCGGTTCTGTCACATGCGTTTACACACAGCGCTATCCCCGGTAGCACCGATGCCGCGTATGTCAAGGAGGAAAGAGCCTGGTTGGCTCGGAATCCCGGAAAACTGGGAATGATCGATGAAGAAGGGAGGGAAAGTGCCTTGAGGATATTAAGACGGTGTAGAGAGGGCCTAGTTAAGAGTGGAGCCATCGGAGGGATTCCCAAGGTGAGATTACCTTCTGCATTGCAATCATTAATCATATGCGTGGAGACTATTAGTATGGAGTACTAATATAATATGAGTGGTTGAGAATAGGCAATAAACGCCCTTTACCACCTCCGCAAATGCCATGAACCTCACCTCCTCGACCCCCTCCCAGAATACTCTTCCTCTTCCCCTTCCTCTTCCCCTTCCTCATCATCATCCTCTTCACCTTCGATTTCTTCATCTCTCCACCCCCTTTCGTCACCGTATCCAACTTCTCGTCCGAATTCCCTCCCGCCAAACACTCTAAACGCCCATAAGGATCCATCTCCAACTCCAATATCATCGTCCCCACCATCCCCCACAACGTTCCCCACAAATCCCACTTTGCCATTCCTGGCTCGTGGTTCAGATTTCTTTACCACTCTCTACGGTCCTACAATTTCCAAAAAAGTGCTCGCAAACCTCCAAAAGTCGTCTCCAGATCTACAAATCCTTGCGACATGGATATACGCTTTGATACTCTCTGAGGGCACGGTATTGACACCGAGAGAAACTAGTTTTGTTTTAATAGCAGCATTGATCCCTCAGGACGTCAATGCACAATTAAAGCCTCACTTAGTCGGGGCGATAAATAATGGCGCGGATAGAGAAGAGGTGGATGGGATCAGAGGGTGTGTGATGGAGATCTGTAAGGAGCTGGGTGTGGCATGGAAAGGTGAAGTTGCGAGACTATAGCAATTTAGATTTAGTCGTCGGTCTTCAGGATGAAGATTGATGAGACATTATATACCTAATATATATACCATTGAGTAGCTACGTGGACAGACGCTTTGTTCGGGGTTATCTTATATAGGACATTCATAATGTACCACCATAATGCATGCACGGCAAATGGGTAAATAGATAGATAGTAGATATATATATAGGTATAGTGTATGGGTCGCCAGTTAAGTTGACTGTGAAGCACCGCTAGAACTACTACCTATACACTAGACTATGGTCTACACTAAAAGCAAAACGCTCACATGCGAGAGCAATTGCAAAGAGCAGAGCGACAGACGGACAGGCTGGCAGTGCATGTAGAAATATCTCGAAACAGATATAAAAACGACATTGCGTACAGGGTAATATAATAATGTATAGACAATGGAAAGAGGCCAAGAAACACCCGCATACGCACGAGAGAGAAGAAGAAAAAAAGGAAAGGATGACCATTATGCATTAAGAAACTTTTTGTATCCCCTGGATATCAAATGTGCTTGCGCGAGAAGAAGAAAACGTATAAGAGATCCATAACTGGAAAAGTAGAAGAAGAAGAAGAAGAAGAAAAGGAAGAAAAGAAAACGGTTGTAAATAAAACACGCCGACCACCCGAGAACCCAAAACCCTTTGATGAAGAAGAATGTATAAGAAGGGAAGTAAAAAGGAAGGACCTGTCCCCATATGCTCCAAGATGCAGTTAAACGTGAAAATTCAAAATAGTGAAAACATTAACGGAAAAGCAAATGCCGGTAACCTTGTAGATGCCGTTGTTAATGTTTATGATGGTGTAACTCCTTCAGAAAAGCTTCCCAACTTTCCCCTTGAACCAACTGAGCCTGCCAGCTTTTGGCTTTACATCAGCTTCGTCATCATCGTACCTCGCATACCCATCCATATCTTCGTATCTGCTATGACGGTTGGTATGCGACCTCTTTAAGCCCGGTCGTCTCTCGGCTTCGTATTCTTCTTCATCTGAAACAGGAGATTCACCGTATCGACGGCTAGAGCGGTCGGCATGGTAGGAGTGGTGTCTAGAAACACCTTCCTTGGCAGCCTTAAGTTCGCGAGCTTCCTTTCTGGCTTGTCGGCGGGCATCTCTGCGGATTTGCTCCTCTTCCTCCTTGGTCAGGAGGGGACGGTCGGCCATCTTGTCACTGTTGCTGCGAGAAGAGAGATGGCCGGCGTTAGTTGTATTATTGAGAGGCTCGTCATTTGAGTTTTCGTGCGAAGACATGCGACGTGAAGCCCTTCTAGCGGCACGAGCGTCCCGTCGAGCTCTCTTGGCGTCGGCTTCTTCGGGTGAAAGATCTTTGTACCGTTCTTCACGACGAGCAGCACGACGAGCTTCCTTTTCTCGGTCCTTCTCTTCAGATGGGGCTCCTACACCACGCTCTCGGAACTCCGATTTACGAGATTTGGCTGCATGACTACCAGCTGAGGTAGCTCTCGCCTGATACTCTTTTGCAGCAGCCTGGAACTCAGCCTCTCTGATGCGAGCTTCTTCAGCCTCTGCATCCAACGCCGCCTGTCTGAGGCGTTCGGCCTCTTCGAGCTCTTGACGCTTCAACTCCTCCTTTCGACGCTCTGCCTCCTTGGCAGCTTTTCGTGCACGACGTTCCTCTTCATCGCGGGAAACGGCAAGAGCAGCTTCTTGTTCCCTCTTTTCACGTCGACGAGCTGCATGTCGAGCCTCACGGTCAAGCTCGTCCTCCTTACGAGACTTGGAGGTTTTCGATCGCTTCATATCTGGCTTGTCTGATTTTGGCATATCTCTGGATGACTTGCTGCGAGAAAGCTTTGATGCGGTTGTGGTCTCTCCAAGAAGGCGCTCTGTTTTGGATGGCTTGTGATGTGAATGGTGGTGATGGTGGGACTTGGATCGCTTGGTTGGAGGGGCAGCCTCTTCAACAACGGCCTCTTCTTCTTCCTCGGCAGCTTCCTCATTGTCATCACCACTGCTCTTCTCCTCTTCAACAACCGCTGCCTCCTTCATCTCCACATCCTCCTTCTCTCCCTCGCCCTCTTCTTCATCGCCATTCTTCTCGTCAGCATCTTCGAATTCTTCCTTCTCCTCGGCTTCGGCTTCATCCTCATCTTCGTCCTCATCTCCAACGTCAAAGGCTAGATCAGGCTTTTCGGGCTTTTCAGCGGCTACGATAGGAGCATCTTCTTCCGCTGCTGCAGCTTCCTCAGCAGCTGGTTCCTCCTCGATGACGGGTTCTGGAGCTGTTTCTTCTCCTTCTGGCATCTCTGCGGCCTTTCTTCGCTTCCTTTCCTCTCGACGTTTCTCTTTAGCAGCAGCTTCGTCGTCACCGTCGTGTCGTTTACTACGCCGTTTTTCTTCTTTTTCCTTCTTCTTCTCTTTATGTTCCTTGTGTCGCTTCTTCCTTTCCTCTTCGGTCTCGTCGCGTTTTTTGCGATGTTTCTTATCTCCGGTATCGAATCTGGCAGGTGGGACTGGGGTCTCCGGGATGAGGAACTGCGAGACATTTATACCCCCGCCGGGTGTCTTGGGAAGAGGGAATTCTCGGTCTTCATCATCGTTGTCATCATCGTTGTCATCGTCTTCGATAATAAGCTCAGGAAGGGCGTATGGGTTCTTTGACGACTTGCTCCTCTTGCTGCCTTTGCTACCTTTGCTATGCACGCTGGCTGCCACGTCACCGCCTGCAGCTTCATCTGGCACGTCAGGTACATCATCGTCAGCAGGAGCAGGAGATTCTGGCTCTGCGACAGGAGTCTCCTCAGGTTCTGCTGGCTCTGGCTCTGGCTCTGCTGGCTCTGCTGGCTTTGACTTTGACTTTGATTTTTTGCTGCTGCTGGCGACTGACGCTTTGGACTTCGCTGTCTTTGCTGCAGGTTTTTCTGCTATAGCTTTGACGGCGGCTTGTTTCTCTACAGCTTTAGCAGCTTGTTTCTCAGCGGCTTTGGCGGCTTTGGCAGCTTCTTTTGCGGCCTTTTCCTCCTCCTTGGCTTGCGCTTTCGCCTTTCGACGTTCTAGCTCTGCATCGATGGCTCTTTGGATTTCTTCTTCTTGTTTTTTCTTGCGAGCTTCCCGTTGTCGCTTCGCCAACTCACCAGCCGTTATCTTCTTTTTCGGTTTCTCCTGCACTGGCGCGGGGGCTACACATGTTGTCAGTATCTATTACTAATTTAACGTCTCGGCCAGGGATTAGACCATCTATTCGCATACCATCTTCGCCTGGGGCGTCTTCTTCTGGAGGGTCCTCCTTTGGTTCGTCATCCCCTGCGTCTGGCGGAGCGGCCTCTGGCTCTGGCGCAGCCTCCTCCGGTGCCGGCTCTTCCGGCGCAGGTTCCTCTGCAGGGGCTTCTTCAGCAGGTGGATGTGGTGGGGGTTCTTCCACCTTCTTCTTCTTTGTCACCGGTTTAGGGGCAGGGCCACCGAACAGTCCTCCAAAAAGTCCGCCAGTGGCCCTACGTTCAATCTTCTTCGGTGTCGCCACGGCTTTCTTCTTAAGTTCTTCAGGAGGAGGGGCCTCCTCGACGACCGGTTCTTCTGCTGGGGGTTCAGGTACGGGTTCAGGTGCTGGCTCCGGCTCTGCAGGCGGTTCTGGGACTGGCTCCGGCTCTACTGGTGGTTTCTCGGGCTCCCTCTTCTTAACTACGGTCTTTTTACGAGCAGGAGCAGGCTGAGAGCCAAAGAGCGAAAGGCCCTCTTGTTTTTTCGAGGCAGACCTGGCGGTACTTGCTGAAGTTGTCTTTGCCGCCGTCGTTTTTTTCTTCGGAGGGGGATCGTTCGTGCCCAGTAATTTGGCAGCCCTGAAAATGGACAACACATTATGCGTCAGCCATCAACGATTGCAGTGGAGCCTTGTGTAACCACAGAATGACAACAATCACACTCCAAAGGAAGGAATAAAAGGAGAGAATAGAGGAGGAGATATAAGGGAAGGGATGTAATGAAGATACATACTTGTTAGAGATCTTAGGCTTCACCTCTACTACTTCAGGTTCCGGCTCGACTATCGGCTCTGGCTCTGGCTCTGGTGGTGCTGGCTCTTCTGGCTCTGGTGGTGCTGGCTCTTCTTCTTTGGGTGCAGCTGGACGCCGCCTCGCTCCGAAGAGCGCCCATGGGTCTACTCCTGAAGCCGTACTGTCGGGTATTTCGAACTCAAGGATATCACGTTCGTGCGCAACCTCTTCGACAACCTTTAGCCCTACTGCTTCTTTAGCTAGCTCTTCAGGCGCCGGTTCTGATACAGGTTCTGGTACGGGTTCCGGTGCTGGTTCGGGTTCGGGTTCGGGTTCGGGTTCTACTACTGGCGCTTCTTCCTCTTTCGTTTCCTCAACTGGCGGATCCTCGGCGGGAGGGGGCGGTGGCGGTGGTGCTGGTTCGACCTTTTCCTCCTGTTTCTTCGCTCGTTTTAGTTCTCTTGCGGCCTTTTTCGCGGCTCTTTCAGCGGCCCTTTCAGCGGCGGCACGTTCCCGTTCTTCTTTCTCCTTGGCTGCTGCCTCCCTCAGTAGCTGGGCGCGAGTCGGCTTAGGTTGCTGTTTCTCTTCTTTGACGACCTTCTTGATTTTCTTCAGAGGCTCTTCCAGAACAGGTTCCGGCGGAGGTGTCGGTTCCTTAGCCGGAGGAGGTTCAGGGATAGCGGGTTCCTCGGGATTAGGATCTTCGAAAGCAAGCGGGTCTTCAAGCTGCTGTTTCGCGGACGATGACTCCTCCAAAGACTGTCGACGAGATGCCGGTTCCTCCTACAGTTCAAACCAACGGGAAAAGGTTGTGGTCAGTCGAAGCGTATATTGGAGCCGAATCAGGCTAGTACATGCAAGAAGGGAATCATTTGAGCGAGGGGATGCGGAGAGATATTCAATAGTTGGAAAGAAAAGGAATCGCAGACTGGACGGTATGACAGACACGGCCCACTCAGATCCGATCGCAGGATCTTAATCTTGCAGTTCTGGCTGACTGGGATGACTGCAAATTGCGTGGCCATGTCTCTCCTTAATATAACTCGGCTGGGGCCTGTGTTGCCAAGCGGATCGACTTGACCATGACAACGCGGTGCCACGCGCAAAGCCTCCCCGATTGGTAAAATTGCCGTTTCCAGCCACTGCACGGCTCTGTTATCAAAAAACGCCACTCTCGCAATGGCAGCACACAACAGCAGCAGCACTTGCAATCACAATGTTGATGTAATGTTGCGAGCGCTTGCATGGCTTATGGAACCTAATGGAAAAGGCCAATTGCGGGAGAATATGAGGTTATGGCATTCCTCGCTTCTTGCCGCTGCTATCTCCTCACTTCTCTTCATTCCACAAACAATCCGCCCAAGTCTTATGACGAGCACGAGAGATGGTCTTTCAATGGGAGGGGCTCAACAAACGCAAGACTCAAAAATAGGAAATCGATGCACGGTTTAGTTTGCTGGGGAAAGCGCAGATATGTGTGACTTACCTTCGATGTAGGACTGCTCCCACCACCAAAATAGGACCCCCAAAATCCTCTCCTTTGAGATGTCGGCGTAGGATCTTCGATCGTAAGTTCTTCTACTACGATCGGTTCTGGTTCTGGCTCAGGTTCCGGTATAACAGGCTCAGGTTCCGGTTCTGGCTCAGGAGGTGGTGGTGGCGGTGGCTCTTCAACCACGGGCGCCGGTTCGGGCTCAGGAGTGGGCTCCTTAACGGCTTTCCGAAGCTTTGGTCTTCCTTCCGCCATCAACTCAGCCGCTTTACCCGTTGATTTAAGTTTTGTATTGAACGGAAACTCGTTTTTGACGGGTAACCTGCTGGATGGTTCTATATTTGATACGGTAGGTTTCGCTGTTCGCTTCAGCTGGCTTCCCCACGGTGTCGCTTTTGCTTCTTCTGTTGGAGCTGGGACCTGAGACTTCCTCTTGACCCGGCTTCCCCAAGGGGTATCATCGGCTTTTTCCAGGACGGGAGCTGGAGCCGGAGCCGGAGCCGGAGCCGGATCCTTGACTGTCGGCTCCTCGACCTTCGGTTCTTCAACCTTCGGCTTTCCAAAACCAAATCGTCGTTCTTCAATCTTAGGCTTCTCGGGCGGTTGCTCCTCAACCTTGGGCTTCTCGAGCGATTGTTCTTCAATCTTGGGTTTCCCATAACCAAATCGTCGTTCGTCAACCTTGGGCTTTTCGGGTGGTTGTTCTTCAACTTTAGGCTTCCCATAACCAAATCGCCCCTCAACCTTCGATTTTTCTAGTCGCCGCTCTTCAATCTTCGATTTTTCTAGTCGCCGCTCTTCAAGCTTAGATGTTCCGGGTCGTCGCTCTTCTAGCTTAGATGTCCCGAGTCGTCGCTCTTCAAGCTTAGAGGTCCCGAGTCGTCGCTCTTCGAACTTGGACATCCCTAGTCGTCGCTCTTCAACCTTTGGCTTCTCTGGTTTTTGCTCTTCAACCTTTGGCTCCTCGACAATTGGCTCGGGTTCTACAGGAGGTGGTGGTGGCGGTGTGGGGGCTTTTGGCGGCTCTTGTTGGAACGTCTTCAATCGGTCTTTCGTCGACTTTAATTTGAACGCGGGGAACTCATCTTCAGGCTTGACAGGCGGCGGTTCGACCGGCGCAGGATTTGGGGAATGCGATTTGAAAGATGAATTCCCAAAGCTTCTCTTTGAAGTATGCGACGAACCAAAGAATCCCCAACTGTCCTCCCCATTATCTTCCATTGCCATATTTGCGGTCAAGAAGGAATTGGTGTTCTGCTTAATAGGCACCGGATCAACTTGGGGTGCTGGCTCTGGCTCTGGTTCTGGTTCTGGCTCCGGCGGTGGCGGGGTTGGAGGCTTTTCAACCACCGCCGCTTTCTTAGAACCACCCCAGAACGACCAACGACCCAAACCGGACGGTTTCTCAGCTTCTTTCTTTGCCTCTTCCGCTTTTCGCGCCTCCTCTGCCTCCCGCTCTCTTCTCAACCTCATTCTATCCGCCCTCTCCCTCTTTTCTCTTTCCAGAAGTTCCCTTTCTTCCCGCTCTTTAGCTTCTATCGCCTCCTGTTCCCGTTTTAGCCTCTCCGCACGAGCTTTCCGCACCATTTCCATATCTGCCGCTCTTGCCGCTTTTTCGGCAGCCGCAGCTTCTTCATGCCTCCGCATTATCTCTGCTTGTTTTGCCGCCTCCTGTTTTCTATTTTCTTCTTCCATCTCCTCCAATAGCCTTAGCGCGGCTTCATCTTCCTCTTGTTTTCTTCTTTCATCCTCTTCCTTCTTTCGTCGTTCATCCTCACCATCGTCGCCGGCCCCTCCACCGGGGGTATTTGGACTAATAGGTGTCTCAGGAGGGTCATTCCCACCACCACCACCTCCTCCTCCAGATACCGAGTTATTCCTATTCCCACTGTTTTTGTTTCCGCCCTTCTTTTTCTTGGCGTGTGATCTAACGTTCGTTGGTTCCTGTGTCCAATCTGGACGACATGGTGCAATTATCGCCGGAAATATCGGTGAGTATGGAGGAGGTGGAGGGAGGTTGAGAAGAAGGGTATCGAGTTCGAGGTGCTCAGGTAAGCTTGAGTATGGCGGTAAAGTTACATCATCGTATGCAGGAAGTGGTTCCTCGCAAATGGTCGTGGTAGTGAAGTTTCCCTGTTGTTCCCCCCCATTAACATCATTTCCAACTATGAACCTTCTAAATCCAGAATTTTGGAAGAAAAAAAACAATAAGAAAGGAGTTACTCACCTTTAGCGCTGCCACCACCTTGGAACTGACTGTTGCAAAAGCATCGTACCGGGGTAAACCATCATCCATATCATTGCAGAGATCCAGATATCCGGGACACTCCAGCGCTTTATTTACTACTACTACTCCTCCCCCCCTCAATCCAACATCAACATCCTCGGTCATCGTTAAAATATCGGCCATCGTGTATCGGGATATGCGGCGACAACTACGGCGCAGCTCCCTCGCATGTTCCCTATAGTGGTGTAACTCTTCGGTATATGTTCGTCCCAGGATTTTGGAAAAAGTGATCGTAGAATATCCGACAGATAATAGAAGAAAGAGGGAAGAGAAGAAAAAAGATAAATTGACGTTCGTCTCTTTCGAATCTAGAATAAAATAATAACTTCCCAAAACTCCACGGTAGATTTCTGCTGACGTTCCTCTTCCCCCAGAGTTTCCGTTACGAAAGAACTCCCCTGGAACTATCGGGGACCCTTTTCTCTCTTTGCAATAAAAAACACCAACAGCCAAACCAAAACCCAAAGGAAAAGTCCACAAGATGCACTGTCTGTGGAAGACTTACAAAAGATACTCTGTCGTAGTTAATTCAATTTCAAGCAAAAAAATAAATAAATAAAGATTCAGAAAGGAAACGTAACCATCTCTTCTAGCAAAGCCACAACCCCATCATTATGTAAAGCCGAGAATCGAAAAGCAACCTTAAAACACCCACCTAGGCCCGGCTCCTGTCTTAAGCCTTAATCTCGCTTGAGATGGGAAATTCGGGAACCCCAAAAAGATCACAGGGCAAAATGGCAAAAAAGAAAAAGGACCCTTAACAGCGAAGGATTGGATGTATGTAACCTGTCAAAAACCCGAAAAAAAAGAGTCGATAGAAAAGAAACAACCCCTTCGACACTGTAGCAGGAAGATTAAGAAATCGAAGCGTATACGTATTGAATTCAACCAAAAAAAACACCACAGGAAGAATTACGGTTAAAAACACCAGTAACAGGAAGCGCTTGGACTCCCCAACTGCGATTTAAGGATCAGATGAAACTCTGGAGCGGAGAAAACGGACGACGGAACGGCAGGTAAGGAAGTAAGTAGTTTAGAACAAGATTCAAAATCCCGTATAATCGTGGGAGAATAATAAACACCGATACCCAATATCAAGTATAAAATAAATCCCCTTAAGGTTTAGACGATGAATTGATAACAAACGAGACGTGTTTAAACGGTATTGCGCTGCGCGAAGTGAAGAAATGTCAAGAGAACCGTAAACCCGAAAAAAGCGAACACCAACCGGAAGCCCTGGCGAAAGCTAACGAAAGTCAGGTTGTTGAAGATAATTCGTTGGAACAAAAAGTCGATCGGGATTCGATATTCGTCTGAACTTTCAAATTAATATTGCAAATCGAATGGTGGAAAGCTGTTAAAAAGAGTATCCAATTTAAATATCCAGCTTAAGCTTTCTTTTTCCTTCGAGAAAGAAAAAAAGAGCGGAAATCGGAGCTTTAAAGCTATCGCATCCCATCAGACCATCTATCACCTTTTTTGCCATGTCCAATCCTTTGGCGTGGGTAGCTTTACATACTTTACGTAGTACCTTCCCTGTCTTTTTCCCAAACGTTTCACATAGAAACCCAAAAAAGAGGGTTCTTTACCTCGTACATTACATACATCTACTCGGGGGGGCTCATATTTACTTCTTTGCGCCTTCCCAGTGGAGATTGTATACATACGGTACATATATGTTTTATTCTGTCACCAACATTCTTTCCTCTTCTCTAAAAATAAGTAACTTAAAGTTGACTGTTTCGATATCTACGTAAGTCAAGCAGGTAGGCACTTTTTGCAATGAGCTGCTGCTGCTTCTGCTTCTGCGGTGCATGCAATATCTGCATAACTTCCTGCATGCCATCGAATACCTCCTCTCATCTCCTTCGCATCTTTTCTTTTGCCTTTTAGTATACAGTACGGGTACATCATATACATACACGGGCATGCTCATCCGATAGATCACAAGGGCCCTACGGAGGGCTTGGATAAAATGCGCCTCGTGATGGGGTTTCTAATTAATTCCTTCAATAACTAAGCCATTCGAAGAAAAAGCACCAATCGATCTAACTAGAAACCCCGCAAAGAGAGCTGCTTAATGGCCCTTTTGTGTCGGGCACTAGGAAAGATTGAGGATAGTGTCGTGGGAGGAATTCGGTCGAATTCCGAGGTTTGACCTTCGCTTCGTTCAGTTAATTGTTGAATTTTTCCAGATGAACGCATGTATAACATGACCACTTCTTTTTAAGCTTGTGGAGCAGAGAAGAAAGAGGAACCTGGAACCAGCGGGTCGGGATGGAGGGCTTCCAGCATCGCAAAGTACTCTCATGATCATCAGCCTTCTGAGGCCTTTTTTTTGGTTTAAGTTTTCGGCCAGTTGAAGAAAACAAGCAGAACGAAAACTAGACATACTTCGATCGCACGAACATCGTTGGAGTCACCAAATAGTTCTTTACACAATATTGACAGCTGTTATTTTTCCAGTTTTTTGTTGAATGCCACAAATATTAAATACTTCAAATGATTTTCCAAAGGGAAGCTTAAGGGTGGATGTTTTTTTTTTTTTTTTTTTCTCCCAATGTTGGGCATCGCATGCGCATCGAATGAGCTTTTGCATGACTTCCTTGCATTGCATCTGCATTTTCAAATTAAATACTTCTTCCCACCAAGCTCCCTCGTGCGACCCTATCAGAAGAAGAAGAACCGGTCCCTGCTTCTTTCATTCCCTAGGTTCTCTGCTGTGGAACATCTGAGTTAATCCTCTCCAAGGGTCTGAGCTTTTTCGAACGAATAGAAATAAAAGTTACTTCACCGACGTCAATAAAATGTACATACTACAAGGCCAAAGAGCCTTCCCCCCCAAAAGAAACGTAGCTCGTTATTAATTGGTTATAACCATACGCATGTCAATTCTAAGCTGCAATATTAATCCAAATCAGGGATTTTCCAGGCGGTGGATCTTTGCCTGAGTTCCTATTTGCTGATAAAAACAGGTCCCGACAGGCATTCAGCATGGGAAGAGAGGGCGGCCTTGACCCCACATCCCATCAGATCAGGCAGGATCTATCAAACTATGCTTCCTACCAAAAGTACCTTTATCTACCAAGCTTTCTGGTATCTATACCATATCTACATGAGGCGCGCGGTCTTGAACACCGAATGCTAAGTAGTTTTGGTATCGGCAAACGTGGGGTACTTCTAGGTAATCGGGCTCAAAAGTTCAAGCATGAACAGGGTCCCTTTGGTTGTAGACGACCCACTATTTGTTTTTTTTTGTCGAATGACCGAAGAAAAGGGACTGAACCCTGTCAGTTTTGTTACTTTTCTGCAGTCGTTCGACATCATCTTAGAGAGTAAATTCTAGAGCAGATGCAATACTTGCGGGATATGGATGGAAGGTACTTGAGCTGTAGACGGACGCTCGTTTCGGAATGCGCAAGCGAGTGAGCAGTGAAGTTTGATTGTTGAAGTGACAAAGAAATATCTTTACTATAGCTCTGTAGTTGTTAATTTAGTCTATATATCGACACCTGATATGATATGGTAACTAATAAGTACATACGGAGTAGCATTGGAGATTATATTTTTCCCGAATTCGCGAACCCCGGCCCCGCAATGACGGAAGAGTAAAGTTTCTCAGGCGGAAAGAAATTCGACACTTATCTGATGGTTATATTATCACGACATGTCCAAATACGCGATACTAGAATAAACCCATAGAGCTCTCTGGATAGCAATTTTTAACCGTTCCGATCCGTTATTACCCACTAAATATTAGCTATTGCCCCTCTATGATATCATGATAATTTCAAATAAATTTTTGTTATCTGTCTCTTGTACATGTATAGTATGAACACCAAAACCCTCAGGGACTCATCAGGCATGTACCACTCTGAGTAATGACTGTACGCCGGTATATATCCAGCGCATACACTTAAATATGTATGTACACGCTTAATACAGAAAGAAACTCCACGAATCAAATGAAGACACAAGCCAAAAAGACACCGAACATATCCTCTCCACTTTTTTTTTTTACACCAGGAAAAGCATTCGAGGCCCCAAGATACAATAAGCATCAAAAGAAGAAGGAAGAAAACTCCATAAACGATGACATAGAAGCAAATGTCAGGAGGTATGTATATCAAATGACGACGACGCGATGATGGTACATCGGGAACGGAGGACAAGGCCGTGGGTGAGAATGACAAAAAGCACGAATGGAGATTCATAAAGCAGTTGCATGGCAAGCAAGTCGAGAAAGAAAAAAATGATATTAAAGACTCCGACCCGATATTTCCCACAACTAAACATAGAAGATAACAGTAGCTATCGATAAAACCCGTAAAAGCGATCGCCTATCTTGCGCCGAAAATAAACGATCAAACTCCTCCAACCCCCACCACTAAAAGGACATAATAACACATTCTATATGCGTCGGACAATTATGTAGCATGCTGATCGAAATCAAAGATCGATAAACGCCCCGAGACGGACCAAGAACAGAGAGAATACGATGGTCGTCTTAGTCTTTAAGGAGTGTATCTCTGACTTGATCTCTTCTGTCGCAAAGAGTTGTTTCGGCAAACTCCTACAGATTGCATTAGCTTCAACAAAGAACAAAGTATGAATGGTGGAGAAATGATATAAAACTTACGATGTATTGCCGGGCACTATTTATAGTACTAACGCTCTGCTCGAGATATGCGACCACTTGCATCGCGGTGCCCGTATGGTCATTATGGTGGTGGTGGTGGTGGTGTTGGTGATGGCCCTCCATATCCATTCCATCATCAACACTTGTTTTACTTGACCTGATATCTCTTTCCATTGCCTTTGCGAGCCGAAGAGCGTGCAAGCTCTGGAGAGAGTTCCTGACAATCTCTTTCAAAAGTTCTTCGGGATCAGGTAGGGCCGATTGTGGCTGGTTGAATTGGTTTGTCATTTGGTGGTATGGGAAGTCCTCGGTATAGGAGGTGGCGGTCGAGACTGAGGCATGCGGAGAGCTTTGGGAAGAAGCATCCGAAGATTCATCCTTCTTCTCGAGGCAGAGTAGTTGCTATATGACGTAACGAATTAGTCACATTCCCTAGCACATAGATACCAATGGGATTACTTACGAAGGCTTGTGCAAGGGACCTGTTCAAATCAGCTGCTGAAGCCTCACTCGGCCTCACAATAGTAGTAGGGACTGGTGGACGAAGAAAAGTTGGCGGCGGGGCCAATTGAGGAGGTGCCAGTCCGGAATCTTGGAAGACACTCCTCGTAGGAAGCTTCCGCTTGTTGTTACCGGGCATCGAGCCCGAGGTTTCATAGTCCGACATATTGCGGTATGCAGCTTCCACTTCGTTATCGGATGGAATGGCACTTAGACGACGAGGATTTTGAAAAGAGGGGTAAGGATCGTTATGTGCATGCGTGTTTCGTCTGGAGCGCTTGGCTGAATTTGGAGGTCTGAAAGAGGAACGGTGCGCCCCTGGGGTTGTGGGTGTGGAAGGGATATCTCGTCCAAAAAATGAAGGAGAAGCAGGACAGTCCATAATCATATCCTCGTTTTGGGGGGATATCGAGGGAGAAAGAGGAGCATTTCCAAAGGTTGAGGACCGGAAGAGTGGTGAGGACGACGATGTTGAAAGAAGCATCGACATTGTGGTGATGGTTGTTCTATACTTCAACTGAGCGAGGGCTAAAGGCCTAGTAGTTGTGATTTATAGCTAACTACTTCAATAGCAAGTAGATTTAATCTCCACGAAGAGATTCCTAGCTCAGATCTTAAACGGACAGATATATAATTATAAGCCCGTTAAAAAAGAGCCTTTTAAGCGGTCTTCTTAGCGACTGTGGTGGCGAATTATAAGTATGCGGTAACGTTGGTTAGGTTTGTATCAGCGTAGATGTTTGATATAGGCGACGGTTCGACGGTAGCGACGAGGAAGAGCTTCTGTTTCAAACGATGTAGCAGAACAGTTGCTCTGAGGAAGCATTGTCCGAATAACTCGGAGAAACAGGAACTAGAAGCGACTTCTACGATACGAATCCAAGCAGGAAGCTTGAGTTGTATATATACTATATACTCGAGTTTTCTCTAGGTATATGTGGCTGTATATATAGAATCCTCCCTTCCTCTTGAGTATCTAGATTCGATTTTTTGTCTCGTCTCGACTTGATCCAAGCTCAGAAAAAAAACCAGGATGTTTAGGTTAAGGGTGGTGGTGACCAGCAGTACTACACGGCATCGGCAAATTGGTGCTTTAGCGAGTGGAGCTCAAAAACCCGAGCGAACAAGCAGATAGCAGCAAACAACAAGCAATGCACACAAACTGTCCATAAAGACGGGAACGGGAGATCGGAGGTGGAAGACGGGGCAGTAAATCCCAAGCAGGAACACACTTACATATGTTGAAAGAAGGGGGGGGGAGTCCGGATTTAACGATTTAATTATTGCTTCTTGTTCCCCAGAATGTAAATGGAACACCTTTAAGATTATTTTAAGAATAATCCGCTTTTTTCTGTTGAATAGGCGAAGATTTGGATTGAAGGTCTGAGAAATTGGGGTTATTTAAGACGGGAAGCTGAGCCTTCAGACTGTTCGAGGGGGCCAGGAGTGTTAGCGGGTAAGCTGGGTTAGTACGAAACAAAGCTATGGCAGCCGATTTCGTTCAATGAAAATTGATGGGCGGGAAAAAAGGGTGGGTAGGACGGCGGTGGTATGGGAAATTGTATGTATGGGAGGGAAAATTGGAATTCAGGAAAGAAAACCGAAAGAGGGGCATCAAACAGCTAAAAGGAAAAGGCCAACTGGGAACCCAAGGTCATCCGTCAGGAAGAGCCGGATACATTTACAAAGCGGCGTTTCCTTCAAAAACACAGGTAGCTCGTCGTTCTTGACATGTTTCTTCCCCTAGCTAAGCTGTTCAGGTACGAGCCAGTCCCAATCGGGATTGGGCTGGGTGGCATGGATGTTGGCCTCGTGCAGCTCTTTTTCGTCATTACAAAGCTGGGCGGTTGGGTGGGAAGGGATTGGCCTGATCAAATCGAATGGTCACGGAATCTTCCTGCTTAATTTAGCCTCAAGAAGAGGCCGTTCGCTATCGGATGTAGACATCAAGCATGTCACTCTCGATATGAGGTTGCGAATGCATCTTTTCTTTGGGTTTCTCTTGCCAGCAGCCAAATTTGAAGCTTTTGCGGCTGGCCGATGCAAAGCTGGAGATTGAGCGCCATAGCGATGGCTTAGCTGGCAACAGCTCGTCTGCAAACTAAAAGAATAAGTTAGATCAAAGAAAATCTTCCAAGACTGAAGAACAGAAACGAGGAGGGATCTCGTTATACTTACTTGGTCTGCTGGGCATCCCAGATCGATCATGTAGTCTGCAGGACGCTCTTAATGCAAGTGGCTCGACCCTCCATCCAAGTGCTTTTGAGTACCTAACTTAGCCCCCAAATGTCCCTTGTCACATGACCGCACGCAAGCCTCTGTTGTGGCTTATAAAAATACAACACTACAACCCATTCGACATATTGCGAGACCTATAAAGGAATCAGGTGGCCATCTAGCCCTTTCGTGATTATGAGTGGCAAGATTCGGCAAATACGACTCTAGCATATTAATGTCGTGCTCGGTAAAGATATACAATGAAAGGATATTTTTTTCTATTTGCATCTTTTACCTAGATATATATGATGCCCCGATCCGCACCAGGGATTGAGTGCCAAGTATCAGGATTTTCAATCCTTCATTGTTTTCTATTCATTTTTTATGATTATTTTACATAGAACAGAAAATATAACACTGCATTTTCATTGAGCTTTATGCTTTCTAAACACGTTATCAAGGAAGCATGTTGTCGTTATATGGATGGAACAGGTGGCACTAAGACTATCTATATAACTAATCTAATAGCATTGTTGGGGACTGAATAGTACCTGTGCTAAATTGTTATACAGTGTATAGCCAGTATAGATATATCACCAGCGTGTCGAAGCGTTTTAATACAAGACTAGGGTTTCATACGGTTTAGACGATTCATTTTTCTCTGGCGCAAAGATAAATCCGGGAAATCTGATCCATTTCAGGGAGCCGTGTGTTGAGCTTCAAAACTACCACGTGATCTGGAGGCTCATTATGCCGCTAGCTTCTTTAGGTTAGATAAGAAAGATAAGATTAGACAATACAATCTACAACACTTAAAACCTCACAACAACACATTGTTCCAAAATAAAAATACTCGGGTCATGATCGCGGTTGTCTCGTCGCGTTGCCGGACTCCTCAACGACATCAATACTTGTGGGAACTATTGAGCCATTAAGGCTAGTAGTTATGTTCGCAGTTTTAAGTTAATGATGAACGCTGTTATACGAGACCAGGCTGTTATGATTCTCTATAATCTGTCGAAAAAACTGGGCAGCAACGTTCGAGTTCCTGTTTATCCCATGGAACAACAATAGACATTAATACTGCAACACTTGCTCAGGTATTACATACTAGGTAAGAGATGTTTTGTACATGGCTCAGCCACAAAAGAAAATAAACATTCAAAGGTTGGCCTGGTGGCCAGCTTGAGTTGCTCAATTGTGGCTTTGCGTTTCTAAAAATTTGACGGCTACAAAGCCCCTCCACTTCAAGTACTCCTAGAATTTCCTCCTTCTCCTTTTCTCTTCACCACCCTGTCAACTTTCGAACCATTAACACCACCAATACTATCACTACCATCTTCACGATCACCATGACGGCTACCACAAGCACAATGCCACTCAAGGGGAGTAGGCAGCGTGCACAAACCTTGGTTGACAGGCAGTCACCATGCTATCCCGACCCGGTGGCTGGTGACGACCCGCTCCGGGGAGCATAGCATGCTCTCCGGCACGAGGTCGGATCCATTGCCCCGGATCTACGGGATAGCAAGCTCGTTTTCGAGCAACATCGTCGGTTCCTGTCTAGTCGTTTGACTAGAGCTCCCCCTAAGGTAAGTAAGAATCAGTTGCTTGTTTCTCGACTTCTCGACGCGTCGAAGCTTCGTTGCCTCTCTACACCGAACTTTCTGTAGCGTATAAGTTGTCTTGTAGACGGAACATACCTTCTGTGCTGCCTGTTTTACCTTCTTCTGCTTGGTTTTCAGCCCTGTGGCCCTAAATTCCCTCTTAAAGATTGAAGGTAGATGTATATTTTGTTCCAATCCGTGTCTATGGGTTTATTTTGCTCCAGCGATTAATCTCGGGACTATAGAAGCTACAACGTCCAACACAGCGTGAAACGTTCCCCTTCTGATAGTTACGGGGATATCCTTAATCAAAGTACCTTAGGCTAAGCTAACTCTTCTTACGCGTGCAGGGAGGGGAAGGAAAAGTCCCGTCGGCGGTTTCACTGCCATGGGACTTTTGCAAGAGGTTCACGGCTGAGGAGGTAGCGTGGCTGTTGCAAAACGGCTACAGCTATGAGGCTCATGCCAATGACACGCTCTTGTTTTTCAGGGCCGACGAGAGAAAGCGATGGCAAAAGGCCTCGCAACGGGAGCTAGGGAGGGAAATCTCTCGCCTAGGGTTTTTACGGGGTGATACCTGGTTACCCCGTTATATGTACGAACTCGTGCGATATGGCCGGACGTTACTCACTGCCGAGAGGGACGAGGCGTTGTTGGTAGGAGATAAGTTCCTCTGGCAAGTGGGCCCGGAATCGCAACGAGTTCTGGACAGGGCGAAGAAGATCCTGAACGGCGCCGGGGGAAAGAGAAAGGAAACGGGGAAGAGGAAGAGGGAACCGGTGAGGGAGGACATCCCGGACCCTAAGTACCGTCCTATGGCTCCAGAACCGAAGCGACGTCGAGTCGCTCGCCGGGCCGCTTCCCGACCTGTCCAGCAGGACGAGCAAGAGGACGTCATTATGACGGATGTGCGCGAGGAGTTGGTGGATTCATCCGGCCCGATGCCAAAGCCGGCTCCGGAGAGACAGATTTCTCCCGAGGCCACTATGGAGGGCGCAGGAGAGGAGCCTCAGCCTCTTGCTGCAGTTCCTGAGCGGCGTAAGAGGGCTCGGAAAGCAGCGACCAGCCGAGCATTGGCAACAGAAACCGTGGCTCCGGCCCTGGTTGACGAAGCCTCTGCAGAGCCAGAGAACTGTGGCTGGACGGAAACTGATGGCAGCGTATGCGGGAGCGTTTTCCCCAACAAACTCGATTTACAGAGGCACGTCCTAAGCTCTCACGTGCCGGCGAGGCGTGACCTTCCCCAAGGTCAAACCAACTGGCTGTGTCGGTTCGGGAGGTGCCAACATACCTATGTGGCTGAAGAGACCCAAAAGGTGTCTGGCATTTTTCCAAAAGCCGATACCTTAAGCTCCCACATAAGGGTTTTGTTAGATGTTAGGGAGTTTGAGTGCACTTTTAGCGCTGAAGGTTGCCGAAAACGATGGAATCGTCTTAATGACATGAACACTCACGCAAGTCGGTGTAAGTTCAACTCGTTGCCTGTTAGCAAGAAGACTAAAGCCGGGCCTAAGGAGGTGAAGGGCAAGAAGGGCAAAAAGTCTCAGCAGTAGGACACGGGAAGAGCGCCATTGTTTTTGGCACCTAATGCCTAAACCTCGGGGGAAAGATACAAACCGGAGGCAGGGACTAAAGAAGGCTGTGTAGAGAATGCTCTGATGCGACTTCAGGTGAAGCTTACGAACTCTGGACAGTCGGTTTATGACTGATTGTCCATCGTAGGTCTTCCGGAACCTGGCTTGTTGCGTCTTAGTGACCTCAACATGACGCATAAGCCCTTCTCCTTTGCTATTTCCCGGGGCATATCCTTCAAGCATATAGGTGAAGTACGAGAGACATCTATCCTTGCAACTCGTGAGTAGTGAAGCCTGAATTTCGGAACTGCGGGAGACGCTCTTAGTGAGCGGACTTTCGAGGTGGTCTGAAAGGCCGGCCGAACGAAAATTTGAAGCCGAGGGACGTCAACCATATAGAATTCCTAACACTACTGTTTCCATCAAAGTATCTTGAACTACGTTGCTGAGGCGGGTGGGGGACCGGGCTTTCCCAAATGAACACCCCGGTCATAAGCAGACTGTTTGCTGTCGGCCACCCAGCAAACAGGGAGGGAGGTGGGTCTCTGCTTCAACATATCCCGTTGTCGATTTTATAAAAAAAAAATTGAAAAATTGAAAAATGAAAAAATCCCTTGGGAAACTATGTGGTGATGGCGACCCAGGAGGCCCGCAAAAAAATAAAATGGGGGAAGAACACGGTTTTTGTTTTTTCTTCTTTTGTTTTGGTTATCAGATCCATTTATCTATGATCATTTTGGTTCGAACACAAAGATGCTATGGCGTTGGTCAACTTCGGTAAGTTAACCTCCATAACTCCCCAGAATAGCCGTAGCTTTATGGCTGTCGCCACTCTTGGCCTATACCGCATTCGATCTCCCAGATCTAGCTTCCCAGTTCTCTCGTAACGTCAACTTTACTTACAAGAGGCCACAGAGGGTATCTGAATCGAACGTAGAGTGTTTCGTATAGGTGCAAGCTCAACTATATCAAGGGCCATCTATAAAACAATCTACCCTATCCATGGCCTCATGCGCAGAGCGGGCATACATATACTTTATATATATACGTATGGAGCTGATTTCGAGCGGAACTGTTTGGGAAGCCTACTCTACCGACTTTATTTACCCTTTTTTATCCATCTTTCCTTACCCTCCAGACCCTTCCTCTTTGTTTCCTCTATCCACCTACCCTTGGTCTGAACACCCCTCCAGCCTATCTTCGGGCCCCGGCCCTTTTTTCAGACGACTCCATCCTCATCAGGGGCCTAGCGATCTTAAAATGGCCGGATATGGTAAGTACCCCATCATCACGGAGAGATACGAAATCAAGAACAGCTAGGTTAATAACTGTCGTTCTAATATACTTTCTCTAGCAGAACGCCGACATATCTTCGACGAGGCCAATAAATCCTACCCTGAGCCGCTGGCCATTCTCAAGCAATCAAACATTCACCTACGGAAGGTCCGGGGCCCCGAATACCTTTCAAGGAGGTATACATGTGACAAAAAGAAGACAGCTCTTTCTGTCGGTCCTGCATCCCTTTATATACGTCTTATCCTTACAAGTTAACATACTTTTATTTCAACACTCTAAGTACCCGTGGACAAGGGAATAATTCGACCTCAGCCTTTCGACAACTAAAACATACCGCTAGAAGGGCTGGCAACTCTCATTTCTTGGTGTATATCGATTTGTGCCACCCTGACCTTTATTTTGATTCGATAGCTAACATAAGGAGGAAGAAAAAGCCGCGACCGCATATCTCGAATACCACCAGACTACGGACCTACGGCTCCGGCCCTGAAGTATCAGCTTTGAGACTCCCCGACCCTTCCTAAACAGAACAAAGCGAGAGCTGGGAGGACTTCGATAGAGCTTAGTTAAGATAATATAGTAGGCACCCACCTCCCTCTTCCATACTTATGTAACCCTCAAAACTTAACATAAGCTATTCTAGATTACGAAACGCCCATAATTTATAATATCCTAAGCTAAGAAGGCTCACCATATTCCCAATGCATCAAAAGAGATGTAACCCCCACCAACCAAGTCACTTGCTGAAGCAGCAACGCAAGCCCGTTTTCAAAAATACCACAGTTCGCATCGAGATGCTACTTATTCTGGTGGAGACAGTTTAACACTATATTCTTCACCAGGTGATAGAAATACATAAAACGGCGGTCCCACCTCATCAAATCAGCTCTACAAAACAAAGGGAGCTAGACAGCTACCCTCGAGCCTCATCACTCGGGAGGCAACATATGGTCTGTTATTTCAATCTACGTTATTATATATCTACTCGGAAATAAATAGATATATATTCTCCTCCCCTCTTCTTCTCCTCTTGCTCTCATTTTGCTCTCCCTCCCACTCTCCCTCCCACTCTCCCGGCTTATTACCCCCTTGCCTTCGTCCTTGTTTGGTTTATAGTTCTTTTCGTCTTCTTTTCCCTCCCCTTTCCTTTTCTGTTTGCCGTTGAAAATATTCATCTATCACGATATAAATATATCTCCAAGCACAAAGCTAACCATATCTATAACCATTGAACCATTTACATCACGTTGACCCACGGCATATTTTTTTTCTAAGTACCTAGTTCGTAGTCCCCTTAAAAGTAAATTTAAACTGATCACTGCCTATATATATGTATATATATATATAGGAGTCAACAATTTTCAATGAATATTTCCTCTTTTAATTCTAATTCATTCACCGGCTGCTAAATAACCTACAAACCGCTTGCTTCATAATTAATTATAGGACCATTACCAGAGTAGTAACAAAATTTACGACTTAAGCGGCGAGTTTCTTTTGTAAAGAATAGAATGGAGTTGACAGCCATAGTAGTTGTGTAGTAAAGAAAAGAAAAAGAGAGAGGCGGTAGTAAGAGGGAAGAATATATATCACATCATAGCCCAAGCCTCATGGCGGGGTATGTTGAAGGAAGAAACCCTCACGCCCACGTCCTTCGCCAGTTAAGCCCGGAATTGGCAATAAAAAGGGAATTTAATGATGGAATGGAAAGAAAAATATAATTCACGCTTTTAATAATAGTTAATAACACATGCATGAAAAGTAAGTGGGGGGTTTTTAGTAACAGTCAATGGAATCTTGCCATTCGCTTTGCAAGTTTGTCCAGTCAGAGGAAGGAGCATGAGGCGAGAGAGAAAGGATATTCTCTTAGGGCAATGAAGAAAAAAGAGAATCTTTCATCGCCTAGCGTTTGGCTAGAAAATATGAAAAAGCAGGGGCTCATAAACGCCATGTTTAAAAAGTAAAAAATGTAAACCACGAAGAAAGAAGGCTAAGAGAAATGAAGAGATAAAGATGAAAGTAGAGATGAGGCTTAAGTCTCGTCGTCTTCTTCCTTGATCCTGCTTCTTCCTCTTTCCTTAGCATCGCTTTCACCCCCTCCATTTCCAGAATCGTCTCTATCCTTCCCTTTATCAAGGCTCATTCTAGTCGGACTTCCGAGATCGAACCTGCCCAACGAGTGTCCCATGACAGGGCTTCCAACAGTGCTACTAGCTTGACTCTTTGGAATGACATTGAAGATGCTTGTAGTACCAATGGGACTTCCGTTACCAGTAGCCATAGCCGCCGTCAATCCAGCTCCGCTACTTCGACGATTGCGTCTGATGCTGCCAACTCGCGATGATGGGAGGGATGGAGTCGGAGACAGGCTACCTTCGCTAGCAGGGCCACTACCAGATTGAGCAGATGGAACAGGCCAAGCTGTATCCGTTTCGGTGAGTAGGATCTCACCGGCAGATGCACGACGGCGTTCTTCGACTGGGGAACGGCCTTGAGTTGGGTCATGGGTAGAGTCGACGGGGTGGTTATGCTCTGCACTAGTGTCAAGGTGTGGATTTTCAGGACGGCGTCCGTTCCCAGTAGCTGTACCTAGGCCCATCGGAGAGGAGACTCGTCGGGCTGAAGAATCGGTAGTAGGATTATTATGGGTATTGTTGTTTGAGAGGGTGCTTCGGACGCTTCCAGCTGGAGAAAGTTTTGAGGATCCAGGTCGAGGTGAATGGGCATCTCGGTGGCGACGCTCAAGTACCTCACGAGAGGTAGAAGAGATGGAACCGTGACGAGATGGAGACGATGACGTTCCGTGATGATTGTGTGAGTTGTTCATTTGACGTGGTGGTGACGAAATGCTGCTCAAACCGTTGTTTGCTGTTTGCCGGTTCCTTGTGAGACCCGAAGGAGAAGAGGAAGAAGTGATTCCAGAGGTACTATCAGTGGTGTTTGTAGGAGGTGAGGTAGGTGCTTGATGAGATGAAGCGAATGGGTTAGCTTCCTCTCGACGTGGAGAAGCCATGCTGTGGTATGTGTGAAGATTGTTGGAATACTGTCTTTGGACACCACGTCTTCGAATTCCAGAGTCCGAAAGGCTGATATCTGGTCTCGAACCGGATGGTGCTGATGGTCGTGCCGAAGAGTCGTGGGTAGCTAATGAGGTGAATGTTCCGTGTAATGGTTGGTGGTGATGATGATGTTGATGAGGAAGGGGAGATGGTGTGGTGTAGACAACACCCTGCTGTTGTTGTTGAGGTGTTGCAAAACCGCTGGGAACCGGGGTCCCCTGGGTCATGGGCAACAACGGGATAACCGACCACCCCGGGGGAAGTTGCAAACCGGGAGGATGCGCCTGGTTGATACTGTTATTATTACCGGCTTGAGATGGGCTGGCACTGGATCTGCTGGCTGGTGTAAAAGATGAAGTTGTGACATGGGGGGTCGTAAGAATCGACGGAGCAATATCTGGCTCGTTTAATGTATTCGGGGGCATGCCAGCGGCTTCTTGGGCTTGCTCTGCACCATCTTGATGACCTGTCATAACACCAGCCAATCCAGGCCGATCCATAGCCAAAGCTCTCTGGGTCTGCCTTAGTTGTTCGGTCAGGTCTCCGATATTTTGCATTAACACCCCATTCCAAACATTTTGTTGTCGTACGATATCATCCGCTGTCACTCTCATTAGTTCTGCTAAGCGGGTGTACAGAATCGTAGCCATATCATAGTTCATCGCCTGCTGGTCTTGTGCCGGCTGGTTTGGTTGAGCTGGCTGGCTGGGCTGGGCCGGCTGATTTTGCTGTGCAGGTGGATTCGGTTGTCCAGGCTGCCTAGGCTGTTGATTCTGTTGTACCGGTTGTACCGGTTGATTCTGCTGTGCCTGTACATTCTGTTGTCCTTGTTGATTCTGCTGGGCCCCTTGAGCATTCTGATCGAACAACGGTTGAAATTGGTTTTGTCGTTGAGCTAAATTCCTTGCCAAAGCCTGAACAAAACCTCCTCCGGCTCCTCCACCACCGCCAAACATATTGAGTCCGAAACGTACAGGTCCGTTTCCTGGCTGTCCTGGCTGCCCAGGTGCTGGACCTTGACCTGGATTCTGTCCTTGGTTCTGTCCTTGCTGGTTTACTTGTGGGAACCCTTGTGGTGCATTGCCCCCGAAATTCTGGGCAGCGCCAGCTCCTTGGCCGTTTTGTGGTGCATCGGGATCTTCAAGTACCGGCCGTCTACAAGTAGGACACCTTTGCTGCCTTTCCATCCAACTCTTCAAGCATGCTAAATGGAGTACATGTCCGCACGGTAGTTTCTTCGGCCTCATTCTGTCATCTGGAATATCTTCCTCGTCAACAAGCTCTGCCTGTTGTGCCGCCGTCTCAGGTGTATCACTCCAGGCCCTCATATTCTCACGACAGATAATGCATACATTCTCGCGATCGATTTCCTCACGGGTTGCGTCAGGATACTTCAAGTTCATCTGTTGTGTCGCTCTCTTGAACCGAATGTAATCCCGACATCTTCCGATGAAAGATCGGAGGGTCATGTAGACGTCTCTAACAATGTGGAGTGGTAATCCATAGAACATAAGGACAATCCCGAAGAATGCGAGGTAAATCAATAGTTTTAGGAGATCTATGCGAGAAAAGAAGATTTAAAAGTCAGCAAGAGCTCCTCTCCAAGCAAAACCAAGCTACATCAAAACCTACCAGTTGCGATTTCCATTGTAAATAGGAAAATAGCCTTTCCTTCCCAAGCGTTAATCACATCTCCAGCTTCTTCTTCTTCCAAAAGTATATCCCTCATTTCCTCTTCAGAAATGATACCCCTATCTACTCTCCTCTGCAACACTCTTGTTCTTCTTTCCCTATACAACCTGGTCTTCCGTAGTGTGATGATTCTTTCAGCGACTGCAATGAGATACCGAAAGAGTGTACCCGAACCAGCTACCGCCAATATCGCAAACTCAAAGGCGAACATGACAAGCATGTTCGGTTTCGGCAATTGCATTAGAGTGAGGATACAGTGTCGTGTAAGGACGAGGTCGAGGAGAAGCAGCGATATTAAAGAACCCGCTAGCCGGATGTGAAAGAGATACGGATGATCCGGTGGAGTTTGTTCCATCTATGACCCCCCATGATGGTATTTGTTAGCAAATTTAAGGTACTACTCCGATATATAGGATGTATATTACTAACAAAATCGACCCGGTCATTACCCAGCCAATGGAAGCACTTCAGGAATAACAGTATCGTGAACATCATTACATATCCACTATGAAACTCGTCGCGAAATATAGTCATAGCCAGACATGTTTCCGTAATGGCGTACCATGCCTTTTCATATAGATGCTCAACTTCGGCGGCGCGAAGGGGACCGTAGAAAATCTTTTGGATTATTTTGCCAAACATGAGGGTCATAAAGAAACCAAAGTTCGTAAGAATCTAAAAAAAAGAAATCTCCAATTAGATTTGGCAGATACATATACACTTATTGAGTAAGTGTGTATAAGAAAATTGATAGAGTAGTACAAACCATAACGCAGGCATTGGATTGAGCAAGATGGACGCAGGCAGAATAGAAATTGGCACGTTGGTGGAAAGCCTGCAAGACGACACTAGAAGCCACCAGCGTACTGATCTAGAACAGCAAACGGATGCACCGGTTAGTACTGATTCAAATGCTCGGCATAGATTTGATATCCAAGGGGACTGGTATCATACGGCTCCATAAGCTACAAGACGCATCTTGACGGTAAGTCTTGAGCGACTTCTGCCCTAGAGGGCTTAGTGTGTTTAAACGTTGACCGCGAAATACGGAAGGGAATGGTACGTATACGGCAGGGATTCGATTTGAAGTGAAAAAGGCTACGAGGTGACAGCCATGGAAGCGAGTATATGATGCCGATGCCGATGTTCGATGTTCGACGTTCGATGTCTTTGCCGATGTTGATGTTGATGGGATGGGGACAGATGATAGAAGCCAGAGTTGACACAAAGCTGCAGCCGTTGCAATATGGGGCAAATTGGGCGTTGGTGTTGAGTGACGTCCCTGGCGACGATGACCTGACAAGCGCTGAGTCTTGGCACCCGCAAACGACACGTTTCCTTCATGAAATCAATCCAATTCAATCCGATTCAATTCGATTCAATTCAACCGCATCGATTCGGGTCTTGTAAAGGATATTATTATCATATCTAATTGATCAAGATTATAATTAATTTTGCCGGTATCTAGTCCCCTTCAGGCTATAAAATCTATAAAATACGATAGATATACTACATGTATCTTAGTGTGCGTACACATAGCATATCTATAGATCCACGGAGAACATGCATGCGACAAATACTTCAGGCAGCATAGTGATACAAACCTCTGCGTTACGCGACACTGAATCTTCGAATCCAAATTTACGATAGCTACAGAATCCAGCTTTTAGCTCATTGGGCTCACTTGTATTACGATGTATGCATGGAAAGAACTAAAGCTAGACCGGTTACATTACATTCTAACATTCTCACGGATCGCGATATCTGTATCTTCTTATACCGGAAATTATTTTTCTTAATAGAATAATATATGCTGCTACTACGGTACCTTAAAATTCTGGCAATAACTTTGTCTCGGCGTCTAGACAAGGCTGGCTTGGCCGCTGGCAAAGAAAGCCCGGCTTTCCCCAAACTCATAGCCTCGACAAAAGCCACTGTCTTGCAATATTCGAATTATTCGCGACAAGGAAGATAACAATCCCGGGCAGTGGATGGAACCGTGTTGAAACAGTAAGAACCATCTTCCCGTTGTTGCCATGCGTTAGTCTCAGTGACCATTTCTTGGGTGTATTGGGTCGAGGCTATGTATCTGGAGTATGTGTGCACGGTTGTTTGCCCGTAATAGTACTTGCGGGTCCACGCAACGTAACGGCACAGTCCGAGCGCCCTTCGGCTTCTTGACGTGAAACAGGAATGGCGCCCTTGAGAATATGTGACGATTGCAAAGGCTGCATCACCGGAGAACCAAGCCTAACGTCTTCTGGTTTTGTATTTCTTTTTTTCTTCTTGTTTTCTTTCACAGTTCGCTTGAAGGCTGGTTTGAACGGCTTGAATATTCAAAAAAGAAAGGTCGAGATCAAGGCTGTGAGCCGGCCAAGGACGCTTTTTAGAGGCGGTAAGAAATCAAAGCTGACCAGACCGATGATAAGACGGCCAGGGGGAGAAAAAGTCGCACAGTTGTACAATTAGAGGTCATCGCCAGGAACTGAAATCCTACGTGTGCCCCCGAATCATCGGATCACAGAACCGGATGATCATGTAATGTCGGTTCAATTAGTTGTCATTTTCTATTCTTGTTTTTTTTTATCTGGGTGACGAAAGGTTTGCCGCTTTTTTTATATATTTCGCTCATCTGTAGGCGTTAGAAGCCGAACACAGTGTATCTTGAAATTGTGATATCTTCTCCCGCTGAAGGAATCGATTAACCGCCATTTAGGTGTATTTTTGTGCATCAGGTAATTGTTGATTTTGAAACAGACTGGCGATGGGGAAGAATAGGAGTCATGGTTGAAAAGGAACAGCGTAATACTAATACAAACATGAAGCGCGCGTTATAACTGACATGTCTGCATCTCCTGTCGAAAACCTCGAAACTGTCGAACACCGGTGCATACGGGCACGTCGTATATAAAGAATGATGGTTATTGTATTAAAACGGAAGCCATACTTTTGTGTGTGGATTGTGTGATGCGACGAAAAAAATTCAGTAGAGTCATTAGTAGCCAGCGAGTATTTTTGTCCTTTTGTTGTAGCCCTTTTCCGAAACACCAACGTCACCGAATAATTAGGAATAGAAGGGGAATGAGGAAGAAACCATAAACATGTGCAAGGAGAAACGAAAAATAAGAAAACAAAAAAAACAAAGGACTTTAGTGTATACCTCACCATTTCCGAGCAAACTTTGCAGATAACGTCGTAATGGTCGGAGATGCTGACGAGGGAAACATGTTGGGTCCGTAGTAAGAATAGTGGTGATGATGAAACTACACTGCGGAAAGGAAATAACAAAAAGCGATTATAGATGCTGTAAACCGTAACTGAAAGAATAGTGGAAGGCGGCAGTAACAAGAGGTCTGGCGTGAATGGCGTAAAACAGCCCGACACAAGTTGAAAAAGAGGTTGCAAACCGCGAATACCGCACATGAGAGTTGTCGTGTTTGGAGACGGATAGTTCCCTAATCCAAGACGAGAAGTTTCACACACATATGGACCAGATCATCTGCATTTAGCGTCTGCTATACCTCTCTTCGCGGTCATAATATCCGCGGTCACCACCACCACCACCACCACCGGTGCGCTCTGCTCCGCCACGCCCACTGGCGGGTTCAGCGGCGGCATTGTTGTAACGGTCTTCACCTCCAGCCGCGGCCCCATCACGAGGACGACCACCTTCATATGGAGGGCGACCACCTTCACGATCATAGTAACCACCACCACCTCCGCCACCGCCACCGCGACGTTCCTCTCGGCCGCCACCACTATACCTTTCTTCACGTCCACTGGCATATCTGTCAATGCCGCCACGGCCATAATCATCTCCGTGCTCACGACGGCTGCCGTAATAGCGGTCGTCGTATCGAGATTCGTAGCGACCGCCGCCGCCGCGATAATAACGGTCTTCCTCATAACCTCGAGGTGGGTAGCTGCCACCACCGCGTGATCCACCGTATGGACGACCAGAGTAAGATGGAGGCCCACGTCGGAAGTCGTCTAACATTGACACTATTAGAAGTTGTTGGCAAAATCAACTGCCTTTGGAAGAAAACATACCACGCTTGGGAGGACCGAAGTATTTTCCAGGAGTAGGAGTGCGAGGACGACTTCTACGAGCCTTTTCGATACTCAAAGTCCTGCCTTCGTAGACCTCTCCTTGGAGGGCATCCTTAGCAGCATCGGCTTGGTCGGACTGCGCAAAGTTGACGAATCCGAAACCACGGGACTCCTTAGTGTGAGGGTCAACCATGATGTTGCACTTGATGATTTCACCATATTTGCCAAAAAGACGGGTTACATCTTCTTCGGTAAGACGAGGGTGGATGCCGGTAACAAAAAGGTTAGTACCAGTATTTCTGGAGCCGTCCTTTTCCGGTGATGCGTCCTTGTCGCGACGGTCAGTCGTGTCAGACGGATCGGGACTAAAGAATGCATAAGTATGATGTCATCTGAATGATATATGAAGGAATATCGTCATACCGAGCATCAGCACGACCTCCTGGAGAAGCACTTCGGCTCCTCATACGAGTGTTATTGTCGGGGCTGCGAGTTCGGGGCGAACCAGAGCGATCCCGATCATAGTTATCGCGAGAATCTACCAAGAGTCAATAAAACGCGTCAAAACACGGCAGATTAATAGATAAGGGTAAAAGTCACGTACCGCCATAACCTCCACGGGAGTCAGTTTCGTAGTCCATCGTGTCGAAGTTGAGATGTTGACAGTGGCAAGTGAAACAAGGCTGATCAATGCAATATGAACAAGTAATCACGGAGATGTACTAAAAGTTAGTATCAACAGACGTAAAAGTGTCTTAGACCGAGCTAAGACGCGTAGTAGAAGAATCGGCCGTAGAAGCCGCCGGACGAGAGTGAGGGACGGCGACGGTGAAGAAATGAGGCTGAGGTCGAAGGGTCTAAGTTGCGAGCTGGCGATGTGTGGCGATGAGGTTGGTTGGTCAGGAAGAGGAAGAGATGGATTCGCTGGGAGAGAAAAAAATAAAAATACGGGAAACGGCAAACAGATCACATGTGGACAACACATTTTGGTTTTTGGTGACGAGGCTGCATTTGGCCTGCACGAAATGCAACACCTACAACGCAAGAAGCCCCCTCAACTCGGACGGGTCGAGAGCACTGTGGTGATGATCCTTGTACAATTGTGGCTTGAAAATCGGGGCATACATACGTTACGATGTTCTAGAAAACAAAGAACCTGTATTTATTATGCGCATATATAATGGTTGGCCTGGTTTCAGGTATGTTGATCAAAAAATTAAAGAGGTGGGCGAAGCAAAAGGCAATGCCTAAGGAGGATATATATATCTTATAAGCTTAGATAGCTGAGGAAGCTAGTCGAGTTAGAGTTTTTAGTATAGTACTATCCTTTGTATGGCCCGCGTCTGCAATATGAAACTAAGTACTATCCAAATGCCCCAAGGATTCTAGAACTATTGTAATATTATACAATCAATATAATCCAGTTGTAGACCTCATTTCGTCTAGCTTACTAGGCCATAGTATATAGCTAGTCTCGTATCCAGATGCAAGCTTCGACAACTTATACAGCTAGTACTGTTGTTTGTATACATGTAAGAATAACAGGTATTGTTTCTTTTGTAGTATACTACCTGCTACTAACTGTAGCCTCGCACATGAACATGGCCTCAAGACTAATTATAAGTCAATACCCGCCTTATTTCCGAACTTTTTTACTTTAGCTACAATCTAGAACTCATTAGATATCCCAAAGCCCCCAAAATATTAATCCCTTACTTGGGCGGGCGCTACTCCATACCGACACGACGCAGCGTTTCGGGTTCAATGTTGTAAGTTGCGTTCGCACATATGTAGCACGCGGTATATGTTGCATACAGGTATTTTATTGCGAATCCTAAACAGTGCCAACTCTAGACGTTAACTATGAAAACTAAATTTATGAATGGCGATATGGTACACTATGTGAAAGATTGGAAGATAAAAACCTAGCCACGCAATCGACAAGAGCAGTCAGTTTCACAATCGATACTAATTTTACAATTTCTGCCTGAAAGCTTCTGACTCCTACGTGCGCATCGACGCGATTTTGAGACAGTCGATTGTATCCCAACATGCAACAGGTTCATGCATGGATCGATCTGGTCACCGCCTGTCTGTGTAACTAACGTTATAGCCTCATGGCAGAATACAACATACAACACCAAATTTAAGCTTGTTTCGCCGTCACCAGACTCCTCGATCAACTGTACACCATAGCCTCAATACCCAACATGCATACATGCGTGCACGCCAGCAAGCTCTATACAAGTGTTATCCTTTCGTTAATCATATCCGAGGTGCCACACTCACAGTTGTCGTCGAACTTCCCAAAATGATAACACCCTACATAAACATACCTAGCCTCAAAACCAACTAGAATGTAAAACAGATATATTCCTCCCCCTTCCACCCCTTATTTAAACCATACACTGCTTTATATATTCGAATACATATATCGATATTACTTCGGGTGTAGAACAGTAATTAATTTTGCCATATAGCTTCTCGAAGTTAACACTAATAATCCCGAGTCCAAGATGCGCGCATATATAAGCCTAGAAACATATATAACAACAAGATATCTTAAAGACCAACTTACAAGTGCACCGCCGCGCCTGCATATGCGCCTGCACTCCGTCTAACAAGTTTGTCCTGTCATGCGACACGCCCCAACCTCATAACTACTAGACCCCATGTATACAGTGTAAATCAATCTAGACGGAAAATTGTCCGTCCATTAGTTATATATATGCCTTAACTATAGCTCTTTTCTTGGACTCCTATGCGTGGCCTTATAGGCGATTTTTCCAGATAATCTTTTCGAAATCCCCCCTATAGCACAATATACATGGTAGTACCATATAACTTCATAGATTTCTTATATTCTGCCTCCATACCGGCTATGAGAGGAACCTCGTAAACAGAGCCCAATTTTCATTACATATATCATCGATAAATTATAAATCCAGAATAATATCAATCAAGTGTTTGCTGCTCGAAAATGAAGCTGCTATCCACTCCCCACCCCTTAATATGGGTACTGGCTATACCTAGCCTCATCTTCAGCACGTCTACATTTGCCACGTCTATTGAACCGGTAAGTTTCCATCTCCCTTCACATGATATAATTACCACGGTATCATGACAATACCTGAAACACAAGAGCCAAGAGAACCCGGATAAAACTAAAAAAAAAAAAAATTGTAAACTTATTCTAACAATTCTCCCAGTCTACCGGCACCGGTCTACACACTATGGATCACGCCCCCAAAACCAGCAGTGTCAGCATGAGCACTTCCATGACCACATATCCAGTTCCCACCGCCCCTACCAAATCCGTATCCGAACTGACCCGCGCCCCATCCTACATTCCCAGACTTACCAACAGTACCGGCGAATTCGAGAGTGTAGACGATCTAGAATACACCCCCTTCGCTCCAAAACGTTTAAACCATACCATGACAAGGGGCAGCACCAAAATCAAAACAGCCGTCATCACTACTATTTCTAACTTCCCAACCCTTGTGGCCACTTATTCAAACCGCATTCTAGTAACCAGTACCATCCGACGTCCCTCTCCAACCAGAACTCCAAGATTTAGATTCGGACCCGGCTTTGACGTACTCGCCGTATGTAACTGGTTGCGGCCTACGACCGTCCCCATCAAAACCGCTCCCAATAACACTACAAATTTCAGTAACGTTACCTCAATGGCGACATTAACACCTACACCTACACCATCAATCGAACAGTTACTCTACCCCCCTTTCAAGCTCAGCGCCTTCTCTAGTTTCCTCACTGCATTAGAGGCCGCAGAAAGTCCATTGCCAGACCAATACCAGTTAGGTTTCAAAGACATAAAAGCCCAGCTATACTGGATAAAAGAAGCAAGGCCAAAGCGGGATCCGAATTGTCCAGCCCATTTATTCGACACAATAAACGACATCCGCGTATCTCTTTGTCTACCAGTTAACCCTCAAAACGCCACAACCATCTCCAAAGTAGAATCGACACCGATGGAAGCTATAATGACCATACTACGCACAATTGAATCAGACATTGAAACCTACCAAACTGACCCATCTCAGCTTAATGGTGATATCTGTGAATGGATACCGAACGGTTCCGCTGGAGATCCCTCAAAACAGATATACGACCCTAAAGATCCAGACGAGGGCAAATTCCAAGCCTACCGCATCGGAAACTATTCCACTGGCGATAGTGACGGAAATGATAACTCAGCAATAATAGGAAGGGATGGTCTGCCGCTTATAGGATGGTATCTAAACATCGCATCTGGAGGGAATGACTACCAAAAAAACGAACTATCCTGGGGGGCCAACTTGCAATACAAGACAGCGAGATGGGACTTGATAAAAACCACCTTTACACCTAACAATCCCGACCACAAATGTAGCAATACTAAGGGTGCTGGTCTATCCAAGCCCAAGAAAAGACCACAACAAGCAGAAATAGAGAAATACGTATACCCTGTGGTCAACTCTACCATTAATGGACTAAGAATTCTGGCTGAAGATATATATGCCAGTAACAAATCCGACACCATCATCCGAATGCTGGATGAAAAGGATGGTGATTGCGTCCGCAGATTCTGCGGAGGTAGGCAGAATTTAACACTGAGCGTTTGCGGGTTTCAATCTTTCAAGAAATTTGAAATGATAAATGTTGAAAACCAGTACGCCAATGCACTTGGGGATCGGATTAAAATCAGCGAAATGATCCACTTCTTACGGACTCAATTCGAAGATGCTGCTATCCGGCATTTTAGAAACCCCGATCTACCAGACGCCAGACATTTCGGGCCTCCTCTCCATGAGTTCATGTGTAGTGTGAGCGCTGTGAACGGTACGACCTCCAAGCTTCCAGGAATATTTTCATTTGTTCTTGGACCCAAAAACGGCCGAAAGGTTCCTGGTTGTGAGAACCCCGAGGAATATAAAGAAGGCTGTGGGAACTTCAGGTTGGAAATCAGTTCCAAACCATGCACTCTGTTCTACCCTATTTGCGGGTCCAGCAAACAGAACTATGAAGGATTTCAGGACGTCGTTACATTAAATTCGATCCGAGAAGCCAGAAATGCTATAGAAGATGGGACCATCACTCGAAGGTTCGCACAAAACCTAATAGGTGAGACGCCTTCTGATTGGGTTAGGTGGACTCAAGGGAAGGTTGGTAATGTTATTAGAACATTCGACCAGTTCTATTGTGATCTCGAGGGCAAAGTAAAAATTGCTGTCGGCATTGAAGAACGATTACGAGGCACTAGAGGAGCTGGTTATGAAGTCCCGCCCAAGCAGTTATTACGCGGCTTAGACGTCCTCATCAAAGAGTTCGGAGAAATAGAAAGCCCCGAACGGATTTCTCGAGGTTGTTCCTGGGGTATCGATGGTTTGAAGGGCCCCCCTACGGCTATTCTCAACTTAACAGGTGACTCCAGGTTCTCTGGATCCGTTTATGCCTCTCAGTGGGGTGGGGCAAGGCCCCATACGATCCTTTCGGAAGGTTGGCCATGGGTCATAAATATTACGAGGCTCTACGAAGATGACCCTTGCAGAAACTTCTCACAAGTAGCCTCCTAATCGCCCAACTCGAGAAGCATCCAGTTCTATTCTCTTTCTACCTTTCAAGTTTTCATATATCGATTTGTTTATCTATATCTGTTGTTATAAAATTCTAGGTCTAATCAATATTCGTATCCATTTCACTATTGAATCGCGATTTGGTCGGCGGTGTAGTTCTTTTCCGTCACAATGCACAGTCGATACAGTATATATCAGAATGGTTTTAAATTCATTTCCCTTATCATACCATCTATACAAAATTCCAGTGAATAGGCACGTCGCTTTCGCAAGTACCAAAGCCACGAGCGTCACACTTCTTCGTTAATAATATAACTTTTATGATAATTATCGATAACGCAAAATGAACATGAATTGAGAAGCGACGCCATATAATCAAGCTGAAGGATAAAGAAATAGGCCCGAAGAAGAAGAAGAAGAAGGAGAAGGAGAAGGAGAAGGAGAAGGAGAAGGAGAAGGAGAAGAAGGAGAATAAAGAGGGAAAGGAACTACTAGCACCCTGGTAAGAGCGTACGTAAGGCGCATTCACGCCCATAAAGCGATTGGAAACACAATCCAACAGATCGCCGTGTTGGCCTTCGGTGCCATGCAACCGATTCCATAAGAATAAAAAGCATAAAACTTGACGTTAAAAAGAATTTGGAATTCATAATAATAAGAGACAGACATATACATTGGCCTAAGAACCTCAAGCCGAAAACGACCCCTTGTAACGTTGACAGAAGTGTCGCTCATCCTTTAACCTCTTCTTGACATAGAAGGTCGTGAATATCGATGATGGAATGATCCATGCCCACGGCAGTAACCATCCTAAACGCCCAACGAATTAGCAACTCCCCCTTCAACTATTTTTTGAAACCCAAAGGAGCCAGTATAACTTACCCAAAGCATACCCTGCCTCTTTCCCACTAACACTATCAAACCCCCATAACAATCCAAAACACAGAGTACTTATCATGATCCCACCAATGCCCCAAAACATGCTGAGTCTCTTCAACATCTCCCTCATGGGCTTACTGGCCTCAACTCTATCCTTCCATGATTGCCTCCAGTCCCTTTTTCCGTTACAATCGACGGCAATAACGTCTTCAATGATGACGTAAATAAATCGCGGCCATATCTCGCCTTTCGGTGTGGACGAAATTCGAAATGGTGTTCGATATTTTCTTTCATGTAGGAAATCGGAGAGGAGAAGTTGCCAGGACATGTTGAATATTAAGGTGGGCATAGGCATAGCCATGAGGTTTAGAAAGGGAGGGTCGAGTGCTGTGCCGACTGAGACGCAGACAACATTGATGATCAGACAAACAGTCAGGGAGAATTGCCAGAAATCCATCTATCAACCATATACATAAAATTAGGATAAATATTATATTATCAAAGAAGGTAAAAAGATGGGGGTGGAGGACATTAACATACCCCAAACCTGGCCGTCTGGCCCAACGGTCGAAATCTCGGACTTTTCAAGATCAATTTTATTGACCTGACAAGACATTCTATCCCCAGAACCACACCGAAAATACCAGTAATAATTCCAAAGATCACTGTCAGACTGATATTGGTAGCGTACTTCAAGCCAAAATATGCAGCAGGAGGAAAGAATCCATGGTCTATAACCATAACCGCGAAAGCAAATGCCACAGGACCCTTATGATCTCGTAGATGGAAAGGAAGTGGCGGTAACGGCGGCCGTAGTATTGAAGCCCTTCGCTGACTGATGCCGGCTATCGACTCATTATCCTCTGCATTTGTATTTGCGCCTGCGTGTGCATCTCGAGGCGATTCGTCGCTGGAAGCAGCAACAGGCGAAGTTATCGGCTGAAGCTTTTCATTTGTGGTAGTTCCTGTGAGGTCTCTTGAATCTTCTATCGTAATGGACTTCTTCGGTAGGTCGGAGCTTGCTGTATTGGCCTTTTCGGTAGTGTTACTGGTGACGTTATTGGTATCGGTATTGGGAGTGCTGGTGGCAGCAGCTGCAGGTTTATCGTGAGAGTCGAGGTGAAGATGTGTTGTCGATGGAGCTACGGATGTCGACGGATTGGTGGGATTGGTGAGGGTCATATCGTCGCTGGTCGAATTAGTCCGATTCGACGGCGGATAAGTCGGAAGTTCACCAGACATTTGACTTTTAAAGGAAAAGAAAGGAAAAGAAAAGGAAAAGGGAATGGATGCCGGGGATAGTTATATTCCTCTCGAGACTAAAAGACAGTTGTGAAGTTCGAGGTACTTTGAAGTGTTTAATCTTTAGTGTTGTACAATTGCGGCAGCTTCCGCTTCATATGCTTCCTCTGCTGGCAGGCAGCTGGCAAGATTGCAAGACAGAACAGAGATATCGGATACTATCGAATTCCCGATGCCGACACTCCTCCAAAATAGAAGAAAAAATTCGAGAGAGAAAATTTTAACTGGTCGTTAGAAGACCGTTTATTATCGCCCAGGCGGAGAGATTCGGCGGACGTGCAAGTCGTCTTAACAGGTCGGTATTATTTTATTCTATTACTGATCGATTGGTGCAGCTTTGGACCTCATATCTGCTCTTCCACACGGCACATGCAAAATATGAAATGCAAATGAATGCAAAGAAGATTAATTAACATCAATCCCCTCTGGAATGAGGTTAAAAAGAAAAAAGGTGTCGGTTGAGCCGTTTCGATTGATTCGGTCTGTTTTTCTAAATATAATCCCGCCACGTGCAGTTGGTAACTTGCTGATATATACTTAGATAATCGATAAGGAAATTATATAATCCGTGCCGTCTTTCGAAGTTCGAATTCGAAGAAATGAATTCTCTGGATCGATATATTCAATGAATCGCCTGGAAAATAATTAAATCCCGGAAGTACTATTGCGATATTGGAACAATGCGATAACCGTTCGTTTTCCTCGGAGGGGGAAAGAATAAAGAAAACAGAACCTCCCAGAACCCGTGGAAAGGCTGATAGCATTATAATAGTATCATGATCAATCGAAGGCAAATTCATTCATCCATCCATTCAGTCAATCAGTCTCTAGAACTGGAACAAAAATCTGAGTCGAATGCTGCATATGTCAGCCCAGCACACTCTCCAAAGGCGGCCAAGCAAGTCTAGAATCGGATGATGTAGGTCCATGGCCGAACCACAAAATCAGGGATTCCGGTCACACCACCAAGACATTCTTGTCAACAAGGCCGGCGGGGTGGGTTTCTTAGCTTGGTCTTGTCCCTTATCATCGGCCAAATTCAGTTAATGTGTACTTCTTAAGCAAAATGCCTGTCGCTGACCGACAATAATGAGGCTACTATGTTATGACGTCACATCGTCGCCAGTTATTTGTCACCAAATGATAATAGATGCCCTGCCATAGGACTACTAATATCCATACAGATTTATCCCACTTCGATGGAAACCTCACGGTCGATAAACCAAATACTCTCGCTCTTAGCCTTTTTATGATTACAAACCGCCGAAGT